TGTGAGTGGCCATGACATTTGCTTTACCAGGTGTAGAGGAGCGTGAAGCAAACTGTGATGGGGTCTGTGAACAGTTATCACATTTACTCCTGGCCACAGGCTATGTGGCTGGTTTGTCAAAGCTGACTGTATGTAATGCTCTCCCACCCTCTCGCTGGCTCTCCCACCTTCCTTTTCTGTTATCACTCTGCCACCCTCCTTTTTCTTCCACGCTCCCTTTCTCCTATTTTTTTCTTGGCCCACTGACTGCCTTAGCCACATCCTATCTGACCCTCTCTGCTTCATGCTACCTCAGTCAACTTACCTTTATCTTTGTCCCTCCCTCCTTCCTCAGCCTCCTTTTTTCCCCAGTGTGGACGTCTGGGAGGGGAGCATTTAAGGCTTGCTTGATGGCTGGCTGTAGATTTTAGTTGTATTTGTGAATGCCCTCATGTACAGCTCAGTGGCAAAGGACTTCAAGGCTAGCGGATGTTTGAGATACATGCATACATTGCACTGGATCCATGCACGTACTGATCTGTATGGTCATGAATTATTCACTTTGTTTTCACTGGACTGGAGCGCAAGAGATGACGTATGAGGGGAAGGGATAAAACAGATCTGAGCCGAAGAGAGAAAAGGCAGTAGCTGTTAGCTGAGGCATGGGAGCTAGCCTTCTTATAATTCTAGTCCACTCTCGTAATGTTACCATGCAATGGGAGTTAGACAGAGGATCTGGACTGCAGTGTTAACCTATAGGCACTCATAGCTACTAAATGTTTTAAAGTTAGCCCTGTTGCCAGCCAAGTCTCTAAACAGGTGTAATATATCATCACACTATTCTATACACATTATCAGAGGAGCAGGGGCATTTTGTCATTCTACAATTAAAGAGAAAAATGACAAATGATATTTATTATCCATGCCCGGTATAAGCCAATGCATTTTTTTCAGGCCAGAATCAATGTCCAACTATTTAATTAAGCAGTACTTCTCATTTATTCCATTCATGCCGTATAGTTTAGTATTGTATATGCCGGTGTGAAATTATTTGATTATGATTTTTAATTATTATTAACCTGTGAATATTTAAGTTATGTTTTGATAATAGCTGGAACAATTAATCAATTAGCAAAATGTTCGCAGATATATTTTCTGTCCCACTGATCATTTAGTTACCCAAGTGTTTCAGTTCTAGTTATAGAATGACAAACTCAGACACACCACAGATTCATGCCTCAATCTGAAATATTATAGATCTGCCAGAATACTCTGTAGAACCCTGTGAACTGCACTGTTGAAAGTTAAAGGTGCATAATACGAGATTGGGAGCATTTGGATTGCCACTCAACGCCTCTCAACATGGCACTGACGGTCGAGACGGCGTTATCAACTGTAACATATGAGAGCATTGCAGAGCTGCGGCCGTGAGCTAGCCAGTGGGGCACGCTCACGTGCACTAACATGCACGGAAAGCACAAGCGGCTGGCCCGGCTATGTAAACAAAGAACGGAGAACCTCTAATAACAACACACAGAGGGAGAGCAACTTCTCTCTCTCATTACTCCATTATATCTTTACATAGCAAATAGTGTTTTGCTGTTATATTAATTCACTGAATGTTGGTTATTGCTCCTTAAAGGTCAAAAGAGGTTAAATCAAGATGAATGAAGAAAGTGTACTGCATATAAACCCCAATTCTTTATTCCCTAACTTTTCTCGTTTACAATTTGTCCAACCAGATAACATGTTCCCTGTATGTCGATCTCTTCAAGTTCTGTTGCCCACACAGTTTATCCTCCACACAGTTTATCCTCGTATGATGCAAGTGGGATGAAATCCCTCCCTGGCACCGCCCCTACTATCTAGGGGAATCAATGTTGCCATTGGCAAGCCATTTTAGGTCCCTTTGCCACATTCACAGGACTTAATCCTTCTAATTGTGCGATCTGGTGTTATTTGTTATGCAGTTCATGTATTCCGATATCAGTCAATAAATTCAAGTGCAGGATTCTGGCTGATGATATTGACAAATACACAACTAAAAATTATAAATATCTTAAGTTGTTTGAAACTAATAACAAAATGTGTTGTAATTGGTTGAGATAAGTTGTTAGTCCATTGTGCCAGTTTTATAGTAAGGGCACAGAATTGCTTTATAGTACTGTGAATATTGAGGCACCCTACGAGGTCTGGGTGAGAGTTATCAATTTTCCTTGCCCTAAAGACCTGGCAGGCTGTAGACGATACAGGCAGAGTGATCTGCTAAATCCTCTAATGTATTAGGGCTACCTGCCATGCTGCTTCTCCAATGCTAATGGGATTATGCACTGTAGAGCTGTAGACTGTCCAGCAGTGGCAGAGTACTCGCATGCAAGCATCTGTAGTGCAGCCTGGGATGAATACATACCGCTAACCTTCTGCTTGATGAAAATAACAATGAGAAGTAAATATGAAAGATGCACCTATTGCAATTTTCTTGGCGGATTCCAATTTTGGCCGTCATCTTTCTATGAACTATCATCGACAGCAAACACAAACACTATTGTAACTTTTCTTTAAAGGTCGTAAAGCTCTGCATAGCCTGCACTAAAATGATCAACTTCTCCATATTTATCTTGAATGATGTTTATGGAAGAAAAGAAAGATATCTGTCGTCTGTGATTGGTTCTTCCTGACATGCAGTTGAACTATGTTTGTCTAAGCCTCTAAGGGCTATTGTTGGAAAAATTCACTCAAGCCAATGTAAAAAATCATTAATCACAAGACATTTATTCTTGCAAGAAGGAACAGAGTTGAAACACAAACAAGTTGATGCACCAAGGCTGTTCGAAGATCTGTCTCCGAGTCTCTGATATTTATACTAAGTAAACAACATGCAGTGGGCTGGCACAGGGTAACACACACACATTTTGCGCTCACACAGCGTAGTCTACGTATCTGGACACCTTAACAATTCGTTCTAGTACAAAGGTCACTTTCTCGTAAGTCATGGTCGCAAATCAGCCAGGCGTAAGTATTGACGCCTCGACAGGTTTATTATGGCTTTCTTAGGTTAAACAGCTTGAAATGTTGAAATCTTTCGACCGTCAACTGCTTCTTAATAGACTAAACATTTGCTGAGACTGGTGTTACAGAAAGTTCACACGAAACCATTTGAAGGCCTCGAAAGCTTACATGAGGCTTTGTAAACGCATAACATTCCCAAATTATTAAATGCACAATAATTAGTCATTTAGATTTTTCCCCAACAGCTATCTAAGGGGTTTATCTAAATAGGTGACTTTGAATTGAATCGTGGAGCATTTAGGATTTTCAAATACAGTAATATTTGTGAACTCGGAGCATATAGACAGAATAGCTATTTCATTTGTATTTTTGGGTCTCGATATCAGCAGCTTCCACGTCTTCTCTGGACCAACTTTTGCCTTTCCATCCCGATGTCTGATGATTGGTAGAGCTTATGTTGTGTTGCTCTCTCCATTAACTTGAAACTCATACATTTACCTTTTAATTAAGTTTACAAAACAAAAATATGTATGTGACATGTGTAACCAGTGAGGACTTATTCTTCATTAATTACCCATGCAGAGGACACAGCAGAAGGATGTTGACGTCTGATTGTGTGTAAATATTCCTGCAGCCTGTATTTCTGTGAGAGTCTATAGAATGTTTGTGCACATGTGTCTCCATATACTGTATATCTGCATTTGTGTGTTCACTGGAGAGCCAACATAGTCTTGTGCTACAGCAGCTTCAGAGCGTTCATCACTTGTATTCCCCCTGACGTGCATGCTTTAAATTCCATCCAATAAGAAAATGCTTTCTCAAGGCTGTTGGGTCAACTTGCACAATGATGACACTGACAACACAATATGGCATAGCACTGACTTAAGATCACAATTAATAATTCACATACCTGCCACAAATATTTTACGCCACATTTTCTTTCATGACAAGCTCGCTTATTCAAATGGTTGATTTTGAAACTGGCAATACTCAAGCCCTTACATATTTGTCTTACACACAAAGGGTACCAATCTCCTCTGATAAGCATTCCCATTGTTGTCCTGAGTTCAATCTAATCTGACAGCATGAACTGAACCAGCATGTTAGTTGGTCAACACATCTTTCTTCATTAAACACGAAAGTCTCAGACTATGAAATCCCTTTGGATGCCTGTTTTACAAGGGACAGATAAAAATTAAGGTCAGTTAGACATTAGTAGCCCTTAATGACCAGTCTCAGTGCTTCACAGGGCCTGCATGATGAAACAGAAATTGAAAACAACGCCCCTTTTGAGAATGACCCTCAATGGGAAAAACTCCCACAAAAACCTCAACCTCTTTTATGACAGCTTGCTCCGTCTATGACTACGTGTCACTGTGTTTACATGGGAACCATTTAATCAGCGACACCCCTCGTAGATAAAGTGAAGCATGAAGGCCAAATCCTGCACGACATTGATCCGCACGAACAATCCCCCATTGTGTCCCGACGGCACGACAGCGTGCACTACAGCAAGGGCAACAATGTATGACGGCAACCGTGTCGCATTATGGCCACTGTAGTATACATATTGAGCATATTAAAAAAACTTTAGTTTAACACTATTCAAACACACGTGCAGTTAATACTAAATATCCATTTTCATGCAAATGTTGAGTAATCCTCTCCCTCTATTCTGCTTTTTCTGTTCTGTTTTTGTTTTATCTATTTTGTTCTATTTAAAGAATAAATGTGTCTCTTTTTTTACTAATTGCATTAGGATTATCATTTGTGCAAATCACAGATTAGAGTTAAATAATGTTGCACTGTTTTATGAATGTAATTCCTTCAATCTTGCTTTATCTATGCATCTCTCCTCGGTTTTATTTCCAAGTTGCGCTGGTATTTATCGTCTCTCTGTGTTTTTACCCTTCATCTCTTTGTAATCTCCTAATACCCCCTCCTTTATGCCCATTCCCTCCCTGCCACCCTCCTCCCCTGCCTCTCTCTCCCGCCCTCTTTTTCTCTCCCAGGCAAGTGATGCACGCTGCAAACCGTGTGTGCGTGTAGTGTGAGCGAGAGCCATCGGTGTGTGTGTGTGTGTGTGTGTGTGTGTGTGTGTGTTTGTGTGTGTGCTTGTGTGTGTGTGTCTGGAGAGAGAGAGAGACATAGACCGAGCCCCTAACACGGAGCATGCCTCTGCGTCCGGCAGCCGGCAAACATGAGCCACCCAGCCCTCCACGGCAGGACCAGCAGCAGCAGCATCACACATACACATACACACACTCACACACACACACACAGCCTCACACACACACAGCAAACGACAGCCAGGGGGCCAGCACTGACAGCGGCAGCTCCCGGGAAGAGGACAGTGGTGTTCCCATTCCTGTCGGTGTTCCGGCTTTCTGTCCCGGTGCAGAGCGGAGCCACAGTGCGAGAGCACCCATGGAAGAGCCGACGGGCAACACCGTGGTCATCCGCATTGGAATCCCAGACCTACAACAGACGGTAAGAGCTCATTCTGTAGCCACTGCTGGAGAGAGGATAAAAGAGAGGGGAGCTGCCTCTCCCCCTTCCTCTCTGAATGGGAGCTTTCTACTTCTCTCTTGTCTGCTTTTTGGATTTAGCTTCTTCTAAACATCTTCAGTTTTCTCTTTTTTTCCTCTTACTTTGTCCTACGCACTCTTTTTTTCCTCTTTTCTCTCTCTTTCTCTTTTTGGTATGCACACTCGGTGGCTGTATTTGCTTGCTGGCTTCCGGGGGTTCTACTCCCCGCCTATTCCACTGATGTCTTGCTATTAAATCTACCTCATCATTAACTGGGCTTCAGCTGACTTTGACAACTGGCCACTTAGGGTGAGAGCGGGGGAGGGAGGGGAGAGGGAGAGCAAAGGCATCAGGGATAAAGAAGGCTATAAGAGGCATTATAAATCCACAGGAAGACACAGAGTAGAGAATCAAGATACTTACACCTGCACTGTGAAACTTTCCCTCTCTCTGTTGCAGCTTCTTGCCCAGACAGAATAAGAGATCCAATCCTACATTCTTCTCGATACAATCTTTACGCAGGAACCCTTGAAGATGTAGCCTGTGTCTTGTGTAGTATTGCAGCCACAGGAAAAAACGCAGCACCATTAGACTGTGACATTGATCCTTTCCTCTGTTTATTTTCCCATTTCAACATACAGTATGCAGAGTATTCTCTTCACAAAATCCCTGTGACCATACTGAAGTGTGTTTCTTCCTGAATTTGTTTGCTGCAGAAGGTGGAATAGGGCAAATGTCCAGTTCCCAAATATGTTAATTGCATTCATTTTTCAAGCTCTGCTATTGTAAATCATATGGAGTCAGCAACAGCTATCCTGTCGTGTTTGAGTGATGGTTTGGGCACTACAACAACAGCCACTCTTGATGAATGGTTATGTGTATTTTAGCTCTTTTAAAATAAGTACTTCATTCTTTACTGTAAAGTAAGTAACATTACATTGTCCATACATCACAGGTTAGAATGATCTCCAACAGAAAGTGATTACCTCGAATTGCATATAAATGCAAAGAGGAAGAAATATTTTACTCATCATTGGCTGTAGAATGAAATGGTGTTATCAAGCCAACACATCTCTAAGCTATGCTCTCTTTCTCCCTGACAGTAGCATGTGACAGAAGATCACACTATTAGAAAGATACCATGTGGCATTTTACATGTAACAACACAGCATTAAGACTTTTATTACTAATATGCCCCTGTGTCAACACTTATACTTACCCCTCTTCATCCGCTCTCACATTTCCAAAGGAGACATCATGGACTAATGGCAGAGCAAACTGCAGATTAAACCTTTACAGACAGACACTGCATATTCCTTCTCAGGTACTCGGTTGGCTTTCTGTGGGTGGCTTAGTTTGAGTATGCTTTGGATTCTTTCTCCAGACATTGATAGCAAAGGCAAGAGGCTGCTTTTCTGTTTGTTATTGTCGATTACCTCATTGTTGTTGGCTTCTTGGCTGAAATGACCCATTGTATTTTATTGAGGCACTGCATGCAAGAAATCAAGATAGGAAATTATAGGAGAGCAGTTGAAAAGAAAGCAGAGAATTCCCCAAAGGTGCTGCAGAATCGCTGTCTGTGAACAAAAACAGTTTTCAGTTGAGCTCAAATACACGCATGGACGCACGCACACATGTACACACATTATGTACCGTATGCATGCATACACAAGCACACTTGAACATGCTTTTACATACTTGAAAACACTCGGAGCACAAACATGCACACAGGCCCTTAAATCCTATTAATCCTATTGCCAAGGTACTTCCCTTAATGTGCTTATGTGATGTAAAGAAGCTCAACAGATCATTCGTTTCACTTTCAAGGAGTCATATTTAAGTCCAGTATACTGACGAGCACATGCAGCGTGACATTGTGATAGACAGAAAGAAAAACAGAGAGAGAGCCTGAAAGTCTGACAGGCAAACATAGAGCCAGATGACAGATGGCCAGACTCTGACAGTTTGAATCTTTTATGGAGCAGTCAAAAGTGACTTGTGTGTACTCTGAGTGAGCAGGAGATTACACTGGAATAGTCAGCCTGAAGTTGGATTACACACCTCCTGCCGTGTTTCAAGCCTGGATCAGCAGAATGCAGCGCCATGCAACACTTTTCCTTTTCAGCAGGAGAGAAGAACAGCGCAGCTTCATGTGGTAGAGTGAGTTCTAAAGTCCAAAATGACTTAATCCTCACACTTCTAAACCAAGGCCATTATTGCATAAAAGAGTTTCTCACTCCTTGGTGCAACACAAGTACCAGTCTTGGTAGTATGGGACAGTAAAGCTGCATTAGCAGTTGATACCGACGTTTGTTCAGTCAGACTTTTGGGTAGATTATTTGCGAAAATGGTGCTTTTTTTTTTCGAAACATAGATATCATTTGTCAGTCATCATATCCAACTCCACAAAAACTCTTTCTATGGTTGGTTGAAAAAAAGAGACCGCTTCCCAATACTGCTAATGGGGTTTCATTCATCTCCAACTGTCATGGGACATAAAGAGGACTCAAATGCAGAAAGTCAGGTGAAGAGAAAAAGGGTTTAATGACAAACCAAAAACACACAGGGAATCTAAGGACAAGAAACGAGGGGGGAAATCCGGCTGGACAAGGCAGAACAGGCAGGCTGAAAAACCGGGAACAGGACGAGCAAAACGGGCGGGTAGGTAGAAAACAAACACAATGGTCTGGCAGTGAGTGAGTGAAAGACAAGGGTTTAAATAGTGACTAGAACAGGTGAGGGAGAGTGTGACTGGCAGGTGCACTGAATGAACTAATTAGGGACAGGTGAAGGAAGTGAGGAGCTACAGAAAACTACACACAAAACACCCAAGGCAAAGCCTGATTGTGACACCAACAAGAGAGGGGGAGACTGACATAAATAGTTTGCCTCTCTTGTTGTCTCTTCTTTTGCATTCCCTCTCTTTATTCTTTCACAGAAGGTAATTTACTGTCACAAGTACAACAGTGTGATGATGATTATTCTACAAAATAAAAAAAAGGGAAAATACCCACCTTTGCCTGCGTGTCGTCATCATGTCTGGGTACTTTACCATACACCTATACGTTTGAGGCGTCTGTGCAGCACGTTTACTGCTTGGAGAACAATTTGGTTGATGGTTGTGCAAGTCCGGAATCTCGGCTCCATCATTCTCAGCCTTCCTGTTCTGGCGTCTCACATGGATGACTTAGAGGCCCCACCTTACCAAGTGCATATTTTTGTGTCCACTTCACACGTACTTGGTTGTGCCCATGGCCATACCTACCATTGAGGTCACTGATGTCTGGACCTCAGTGACCTCATTTGATTACAACAACTTGAGGAAACTGTACAGGCATGGATTCAGATAACTAGATAGTTTAATGAGTTAACTGCTAATAGTTCAATGCCATTCATCCCCAGACAAACATTATCTGACCAATAGCTTCTATGTGGCTGTGCTATGTTAAACAGTGACCAGTGATGCCAGATGGTTAGTTTCATTTTCACCCCTATGTAGCCCACATGTGTTTATTTCCTTCACTGAGACGGAGAGAAATTAAACAACTGTCAATCAAAGCTCAGCTTTGGGAAGGCAAAAGATACGGGACAAAATAAGGTGGCTGAGAGAGAAGGAAAGAGAGAAGGTGATGGGGGTGAGAGACAAAGAGCAGGTACTACGGACTGTGTCCAGGATAGGGTTAGCATTATGTCTCTGTGATGTTCAACAAAAACTCACCTGATCAGACTCAACAATGTCATTACCACAGAAATATATATGTCCTATAGTTGATACAATGGAATCTATAGGCTCAATTAAACAACCAAACACCTAGCATAATTATTATGTAATAAAAGTATTATTGTATAAATAAATCATTGTAAGATACCCATTTTGTTTACGTTTTAGTACTGTCTGAGATACATTTCTATAATTCAAATCCAAAATGAAGCAAACTCGAAAAAAAAAAGGTGTTTATAATTGTTAGTGAATTATTTTCACTAAATATTGGTAGGATAGACAAGTGAGGAATCACAGAAAAAGGGACAGGCACTGAATACAAAGGTGGAGAGAGAACAATAGTGTGAATTCTCTTTTACTAATCATTATCAGCATTCATTTTCAGATGTTTTCTGATCATTTCAGCCTCTTCTTTATGTTCAGTATGAATCGTTCATTGCAACATTTAACCTTAATACACACATATTACTTCATGACAGACCGTGTATGCTAATATCCAGCAACATGGATTTAAAGCTATTGTTATCAAATGTTTGCTCTTGCATGCCCCTGAACCTCGCTAGTAAGCCCATGCTCAGTTTTTGGACCTCTGTATTTCTTAAACCATGTGTACTGCAATGGTTTTGCCATTCAGTATATTGTTGCTGCTTACATCATACACTCTTAAACTGTGTGCCTTACTCCCTCAATGGCATGTTTGCACAAACTATGGTTTGGTCTCTCTTTTGACTGTCCATGTTCCCGTGTGGGGATTTGCTTTCCAAGGTATCTCCTCTAACCTCATTTTAAGCACTCTCCATATCTGCTGCTGGTTTGAGATATTCTCCAAGCTATTTATTTTCAGGAGCAATTTTACTGATAGATGCTTCATGTTTCATTCAGAACACTGGCCTTGACGCTGACTAGATCCTTCTCTCGAGCTGGCATACAGTCTTCGGAGGCTGGAATTACGATAAAATGATCTGTGAAGATTTTTAATGTTATTGATGTCAAGATCAAGATCAAGAGTAAGAGTGTGACAGCCTGCAAGCAAGAGAAATTAAACTTAAATTAAAATGTAACTTCAATTGGTTTATTTAATTGCGAAGAAAACAAAACCTCACAAAAGCAGCAGAGTTGCAACAAGGACGACGAGCCAATTGGCATAGCTACGTTTAAATATCTGATGATGGGTAGCTCCACTGCACTGACAGTTGAATACCGGAATTGCAAGTGGAATCTCATCTTCTTCTAGCCGCCC